AGGAAACCAGTGTTAACACTTTCGACACCCCCCAAAGTCCCTTAATTTGATTTTTTTTGTCTTTTTGAATAAAAATCACAGCAGCATGCAATTCTCAAAGGAAACTCACTCTGTTTACCCCCAGACTATACATTTTGGTTATCCTTTTATTTCGTTCTCGCCTTTTGTGGTTCAAAATACAAAAAAAAAGGAAGAAATGTGTAAAGTGATACTGAAAGTGTGGAGAAAATGTAATAAAATCCGGAATTATTTCCTTTTCTTTTCACTGCTGTCGTGTCTTTCCATCTCGCTGCAAATACAAATTTATGCTTCTAAGGCGATAGAAATGCGGAAAAATGTATACAAGCATGTACATATATTAAGTCCCAACGACCTCTCTCACTCTCTTTGTTGTCGTAATCTTTGAAAACAAGGATCATTTGGTGTGTATGCATACATCTAGTGGAGCTTTATGTCACTACATTATACTTTGACACCCATATCAAGTACTCGAGTTTATTTTCTTTCATGTTCATGCGGAGATTTTATTCTTGCTATTGGCTATGATAATTGAGTATTGGGGTTGAATGTCAAATTTCTTTGAGATATTTTTATTGGCAACGCAAGGTTTTTGAGCATTATTTTGTAATAAAATTGTTCAAGTGATGATTTTGTTGAAGCTACATTTTGTTACCTTCGGACATTCATTGGCAGTTCAAAATTCACAAGCATGCCAATTCTATTTATGAATATTCTGTTTCCAAGTTTGTTCGATACTTAAAAATTAAATCTAGGTCAAAATTGGTTTTCTAATAACAATAAAAGGTCAAAAAGTATCACAAAATACCATTAGCAGCAGTAAGAAGAAGTCTGAAGAAATCTTGAAAATTTTGAAATGAAAATCAAATGAAAAATGAGAAAATGTAAATTAACTTTTTCATTATTGAAGAAAAAGAAGTTTTCTAAATCTGAAAACTTTTCATCTGACCTTTTTTTTAACAAGCATACACAACGCGTTGAAACGAAAAAAAGCAAAATAAAAAAAGTTTTTCTTCCTTTATGCTGAATAACACCGCATTGCTTTCCTCTCATACCACAAGAAAAATTAATGAATTGGTTTTTAAAAAGAAGTTAATTTTCTCATTTGCAGGACTACATTTTCAGCTACCGAAGCTTATTAACAATTCGAATTATCCCTTTGAAGTGAAAATTGAGATTTATGACTCGACAGTATTTAACAGTAAGCATGTTAAAGGTAAAAAGTTTTTTATGCTTGTAACACGCAACTGTATCTGAAAGAGTTGTATGATGATTCCATTGAGAATGCCTTTTTCTGTACCTTGCTCGCATAAATTTCAGTGAATGTGCATGTTATAGAATTCATGTAAGGCACGGAAAGGGAAATTCGTCGAATGAGATCGTAGCCAACTTCAGGTCAGATAACCGAACACAAAAACTTCTTTACCGACTTTTATTCTTCCTCATTGAGTGCTTACATACAAAATAATGTATTCATGCAGCATAAAAAGGATGAAGGGCAACGAGAAAAAAAATTTATGCGAAAATAAACAAGAGAAAATTATCCTTTTTTGTATTCATAATTCACATATAAAATTTTTAATGAGTAAATTTTCCACTGAGCAAAAGATTCATAATGACTTAATCCCAATGCAATGAAAATTGTTGCGATTTCGTAGCGCCATCAATGTTTTTTGTTCATGGTACATTTCAGGTTCATTGATGCATCAAAAAATTGTTCGTGTTTTATAATTGAAAAAATAATGGAAATTATCAGAGCCCCAAACCTCTGTATTTATGCAAACTCATTGTTACATTTTGAACCTATTAGATTTTACGGCTTGATCTGAAAATTGTAAAGCAATTGAGTTATTTTTCTGGCATATGTTGGCTTAAAAGAGGTGCTCATAGAGTCGAAACCAAGGAAGGCGTGTGATACTTGTTGAAATGTGACTTAGAATCAATAAAAATTGATATTAGAAAAGACTATCACCTGCAAGGCTTGTGTACATGAAAGAGGCTTGACTTTTTAATATGATTAGCAGCTATATCAAAAATCTTGAACCTAATCTATGAAACAACCGAGAACCAAAAGGTAGAATCACTTGAATTTATTTATTCCATGCCAATTAAGGATATCAAAAGGCATATTTCATTAAAACCCAAAAACAACAAAAAGGAAGTCATAAATATGCAAACTGCATCTAATGAAATATTCACTAAATTTCCATTTCATTCACTTCCATTTTTGCATTATTTGTTGTAAGTCATAACAAAATGTTTCATCCAGAATAGCTTCAACTAGCAAATTATGTTCTTCCTTTTCATGTTCCTTAGTGCTACATATTCAATGTAAAGCACTATATGGCATTAAGACTAGAAACCACGTGCGAGCGTTCAACATGCGCTTGCAACTTTAATGTAAAATCTATAGCTGTTTTTTCCCTAACTTCTTTTTCACTCTCTGAGTCAGTTTACCACATTCTATCCGCACGTTCTCTGTACACCCCCTTTGATTGCAAATAACCATCAAAAAATCCCCCCTCAGATGAAAATAATAATAAGATGAAGAAGGAAAGAGAAGTTTTTTTTGATATGGAAAAAGTATGTAGTAAATTACATTAACATCTCAAAGTAGAGGAGTAGGATGATTTTCTCCTTCATCGCGTTGTGGGATGGGTGAAGGCAGTTTACGAGATTCGAATGCCAAAAAAAACCCATTGCATGAAAAGGAAGAAGAAAAGGAAATGAAGTAATTTTTATATAAAGTCTCAATTTAGTTTTTATACCTAGCTGTGCATGTATGTGCGTTTATAAATGTATCAATTTTGAGAAGTCAATGCAACTTTTTGTTGAAAATGTAAAAATGAAAATGCTTTTTTAACCCCCATCCACGTGATTCTTGTATGGATATATAGTGTTTGCATTTTTGCCGAGAATTGTTGAGTAGATACAATATAAAGAAAATAAGGAAGTGAAATGAGAACTAAACAAACAACAAAAGAGGAGAAAAATAAAATAAAATTTGATTGCTTGCATGCTTTTTTGTCGTCTTGATACTAGAGACATTTTCCACTATATCATACAGTAAAAATAGGAATTTTATTGTTGATGCTCCAAGCAAAAATTTTACTTTCTATTTTGAGAAACGTGCGAGACACAATATTCGGTAAAATTATGTTTTAGCATGAATTTTTAGAAAACGAAATGTTTGCTTTTTGGGCTAATAAAATTACTGGTCTAGACGTGCCGGAGATCTTTTCAAAACATGGAATTATAAATGAGTTTTCAGCTCTCGATTCTTTTTGCAGACATTAAATAAGAAAAGTTGATAATATGCGTGGAAATTGAATGACATTTTCAAGTTCAATCATAAAGGTCTTTTCAGCATTTACTCAACAAGGGTCGTGGGATTGTTCAGCCATTGAAGTCAATAGCAAACAACATTTGATACAAAAAGGTGCGAAACCCATGCAAATAGAAACTCAATTTTAATTATTTTTTGAAGATGCCAAAATCTTTTCTGCACCTTCAGTCAAAAATCATGTTTTTAGGGACACAACTATCGCAGAGTCGTTGAATCATGAACAATAGTACATGTAATTAATTTTTTTTTCAATTTCTGTACAGAATGGCACAAATCGGTTAATCGAATAGAAATCCAGCGCCAAGCAAGTATGAATCTAGCATGGTGCTGGCTTCGTTTTAAATCCAGCACAATGCCAGAGTCACACCAGTTTGGTGCCAGATTTCTAATTAATTAACCGACTTGTGCCTTTCGGGTGTCATCCAGGACGAGAAACTTACAGACTCTTTTAAATTTAACATTATAATTATAGCGAGACTCACTAGCAAATTGCTAGTCTTTCTATTCTACAACTTGCAATTTACTAGTTATTATTTAAACAACTTACTCTTAATAAATTACACTTGCTATTTACTAGCAAATTACCATGTAAAATGTTTGATCAAATCTGCTTAAGTTCGAATCGTACGAAAAATCATCAAACAAATAATTTTTTCCGTCATAAAAAATTTTGTTCTAAATTTGGCATTTGCCAAATACTTCACAAGACTGCACAAAATAACCTTTATAAGGTCGATCCAAATTTGTATGTGACTTTCAATTAATTATTTATCTTCCTCAGGTTTGTGTGCGAGTCATGGGCGTTCATCAGTGTTCGACTTAATTAAATTAAGTATTTTATTTTTTTTTTCATAGTGTTAGTGTACTTTAATTAACTTTACCAAGTACACACTAATGCTTTTAAAATAATTTATACAAATAAGAAAAATCACAAGAACACGTGGAAATCAACGGTTATATTCATTTAAATTTTTTAAAAATTTGCTAGTAAATTACTAGTTAAATTGTAAGCGAATTGACTAGTCAATTAGCAAGTGAAAATGCGGGTCATTGGCGAAGATTTGAACTTGGATTTTGACTAGTAAATAGCAAGTAGCAAATGGAAAGTTATCCAGTAAATTACTAGGAAATTACTAGTAAATTTCTGCTACTTATAAATAGACCCAAAAAAGGCATCACATGTGAACGACTCCTAGTTTGAAGACGAAGTACCAGTAAGACCAGTAAATACGCTACTGACGCCAACATGACAAACAATACAACTTTTATATTTAGAACATTCGACATGAATTTTTTTTGTTGAATAGAAAACAAGAATTTTTCTTCTATTTGAATTTTAAATTGCTGTCGCCTTTTTTCACAGCTAGTACCAAAAAAAATGTTCATTGAATTACTTAAATGAAATAAATTTTGTGAAAGAATTCTTCTTTGTGGTGAAATTTTCTTACTTCATAAAACAAATAAAATGAGGAGAAAAATCTTTTCCTTCACTCAGACTCAACAAAATTTCCAAATATTTTCATACGCAGGAAAAAAAACAAACATCAAGAAGTTAATGCCTCACTTTCTGCCTTTTCAGACGCATCGAATCGTGACATTTTGATTTTTCCTTTACTTAAACGTTTTCCTCACTCACCTGAAGTGTTTCTTGAGATGAAATTCTTTTATCCGTCATGATGATTTTCCTCCTCCACTCAACGCGCCTCACTTTAAATGATAATTTTGTGTAGCCATCTGTAAGCAATCGAATTAAATGGAGATATTAGAGTAAGGTAATAAGGCAATTAAATTGCAAATTATTGGATGTAAATGTAATTATCTGCGAACCTCGAAAATTGGACGGTAAATTTAAATTAATCGACGATAGAATTACTACTGCTGTTGCTCCCCCATTGAAAATAGAACAAAATCATGGAGTCGCTCTGTGCCATAAGGATTTTTCATTAATAAAAATAAATTACAAATTGAAAAACATTGTTGTAAGTAATTGAAGTTTATGACTCATGTGTTTTCATGTAAATTAAAGTTATTTCATTATAGGCAAAATAGAATTCAATTGAAAAAGGGATGCCTAATCATGAAAATTGAATTTCTGCTTCTATCCATCTCTAGCTTCCTACTCTATTTCACTTTTTTGCTCTATTTTTATCCCGACATTCCCTAAAATCAATTTTCCTTTCAACTGAACTAATTGAATTATGTGTTTTTATACAGTACGCAATGAAAATTCTGTAGTGAAAGCAAAAGCAGCAACAGTAGCCTGAAGATAAAAGAAATCCCGATTCACTTAACTGCACAATTCCTTCATTCCTTCGATTATTTTATATTTTTGTTTTTTTGATTGAAATATACAATTGGATGACAAGTTTTTTATTTTTGCTGACTACTTACTAAATGTAAGGAGGTTTTGGACAACATGTTTTACGTGGGGCACTGTGAGATGCAAAAAACTTAACTATCAGAGCTGCATAACTTTCAAAAAATTTAAATAGAATCTGTCACGTTGATACAATGACAACGGATGTCAATTTGACTATGAATCCTTAACAGGCATGGTTTATCAGATCCATATGCTTTTTTGGAACAACTGATATCAGTTGTTCCAGGATGCTGATATTATTACGGTTCTCCGTGCAAATCGTTTGAGATGGGCTGGACATGTCTTAAGACGTCCACAAGATGCCCCAGTACTAAGAGTGACTGTTGCAGACTTTGTGGGTGGCAAGAGATCTAGAGGAAGACCAAAGAACACTTGGATTGGATGTGTTGATAAAGACGCTAGAGTCTTTAATATCCCGAACTGGCAGAAAGTCTCGAAGGATAGAGCTCTCTTTAGACGATCTCTGAACGCGGCAATGGGCCCACGTGCGCCCCAGCCAAGGAAGTAAGTAAGTATATGCTTATTTACTAGCTATAACCAAACAATTAGCTGCATTAGAGTGATATCATTTGTATGGTTTGATTGGAAATAATTACGGGGACAAATTAAAGTTGTTGTAAGAAAAGTAATACGCTGAAGAGTGCCATGATGTAAAAAAGGTCACCAACCACTGTCTCAAACGAAGATCATCCAGAAGAGAAAATTTAAAGTCAACAAAAATCTTTTCAGATTTCTCAAAGGTTAATCTAGAATCCAATTTTGATAAAAATTAAAGGTTTAAACTTTCAAACTTCAATATTTACATACAGTTCCTTGAATGTCATGATAAACTTTGATTGAAACATGATGTTATGTAGCAAAAAAGAAAATCCTTCAGTCACATAAATTCATTTTATTAAATTTATGTAAAGAGATTGAAAATTGAACAAGTCATAGCAGAGAATGGAGTCTATGGGACGTAATAAAGATAGTTTTTGTTTTGGGACAAATAAATTCGCCTGAATGAACAATAATTGAAAGCACGTTCTGGGATAAGAGGAAGATAGAGATGCAGAGAGAAGGTGGAGGGTCAAAAACCCTTAAACAATGAATGAATTTAACACTACCTGAATGTATTAAAGGTAAAAAGTTTTACGAACCGGAAAAACCATGAAGCGATGCTTAATTTATAATGATTTTCAAAATATTATATGGTACATGCATGGTGCTTGTTCTATGGCTTGAATATGTGCAATTATTTACTTCTTTATGGTTAAGAAAATTTTCCACATTCAATGTGTGTCCATTAGCAGTTCACATAGATAATTTTCAATGAATGTAGCAAATTTAAACATTTACATTAAGAAGCTGCTGCACATTCCTTTTTGAGATTTGTTGATAATATATTTGACATTATGTGGTTTATACACTTCCCATACCTAACTGTGAGTTTGTCACAACATGAATGTTATTTTGTCATGATAATAATCATCATGAATTTTTTCCATGTTTGATGAGGAATAAAAATATTTTTTGTACGCATTCCCTTTCGCTTTCTCTCTAGATATGTGAATCAGATATGGAAGAGAGTTGGAGAATTTACCGCAATAGGATGAGAGCATGAAATTGTATATGAATGTATTTATAATGATTTTGCATGTGATGTCTAGTGTGTGATTATTCGGCTTTATGAAGGGAGAAAATGTGAAAATTTGTATGATAATAATATGCATGAACTTGGACCTTCATTTTACACTCTCGTCAATTTATTTTTCTCATATTTATTATTCTCATTTCAGTGTCAGTCAATTTTCATCTTCTCCCATCATCATGTGTCATGTGTCATTCGCTTGAATTGTTTATTTAAGTAAACAAATCCCTTTTTATTTATCATCATCTGATTCAGGCAAAAAAAAAATTTTCGGGTATTTTTAGTAAATAAATTTCATAAATGTTGATTCTTTGCGGCTTGCAACCGTACCAGTATATCGAGGCAATGCTCATTAAAATTTAAATTAAAATTTTGACGCAAAATATTTTCCACTTGACAGTTGAGTGCGGGGGAGGAAGCAGTAATTTATGCTCAAAAAGAAAAACTTTTCAAGATATACATAAAGGCAGAAGAAGAAGAAAAAGAATGGGAAACAGCTTGAAAAGGACAATCTACATCTTTCACGCTCACTTTAAAAATCTTTCATTTATATCTCGTCTAATTTAATGCATGCTTTATGCTATCTTAACTTTCTTTTGTTGGAAAACAACAAAGTTCTTTGTAGCATTCAGAAGCAATGATTTTTACGGTAGGATGTTATTTATGAAATTATCTAGGATGAATGCCTTAAAAATTAAGACAATGCTAACAAGAAACACAGAGTGACGGGGACAGAACAGCAGGGAGAAGAGGTCTCAAAGCATATTGTTATATTTGGACAGTCATGCACATAAATGAACACTTTTTAGACCATCCAAAGCCACGTTACAAAATCTAAGACCCTAAATTACATCATTTTGCTTCATTTTCATCCTCTGTCATCTCCTTATAGCATCAATGCTTAAAAATATTTAATTGTTGTGCATTGAAACTCAAAAATTGCGTTATTGTCACTCTTACGCGTTTTTAAACTTTCTCTTTTACTTCTTCATTCTTCCTTAATATTCTCTTGATGCTCTTTTATGTCATATTCTGATTAATCTTTACAAACATCACCGACACAAAAGGAATTGAAGAAAAAAAAACCATTTAATGTTCAAACAAAATTAGGCTTTCAATTTAATTGCAAAACTTTTGCTTTCCTTTTGTCTATTTTTTATCTCATAAAATGAAGCTTTCAGCTCACCTCTTTCATTTCTGCACCGTTTATGTTCACATTTGCTGCTCTATCTATCCTTTTTTGTTTTCTTTTCTTTTTTTGATAATCCAAAAGAAATTGTTGAAAAATGAAAAGTTTGTTTCTCGTGGGAATATAAAGTATAAAAGTTTTATATCCTTCAACATCAATTGCTGCAATGTTGTATTGTTTATCCAAAAATATAAGAAACACTAATTAATTTGCTGCCTTTTTTTCACTGCAGAAAATTTATCTTTTTGGGCAATTATGCCTTAATTATTATCACTTTTATACACTAATTTATGATTACTATGCTCGATAATTTTTTGCATAAATTTTAAAATTTATAAAACCGTTAAAATTGCTTTCATATTTCACAGAAATTAATATATGCTAATTATTATTCCTCAGACTGTTCACCATCAACCAACTGAAATTATGATTTGTGCAATTTCCTAAATGCATTAATTAAGAATCACATGAGAGGAAAATTGCTTAAACACTTTCCACTCATTCAATGGACGACATTTATCAAGTTGTTTCACTGCAACACTTTAACCGCTTTGCAGCATGTTCTTTTTTAATACCTCCGACTATGGCATTTTATTTTACACTTTTTCTGAATATTACAACCAACGTCCTTGTGTGTTTGAGCAATGCATAGAGAAATGGAAAGCAGAGAGAGTCGAGAAAAAAAATTGTAGAAGAATTAAGACGTGAAAATTTATGGTGTTAAATTTCCGGGACTTCTCTCACCACTTTGTTTCTTGCTTATTTTCATTGTATTCTCTCATACATAATAAATTTTTATGGCACTAGTATTTTTTGCACATTTTTATGTTTATTTCGCAAAAATAATCTCTATTAATCCTTAATTGCTGACATTATTGCCTATATGGGGTTGTCTCTTGACGTTATGTGTTGCTTACTTTCACATGCCGACACAGATATGTTTGACAATATGCTATGCTTCTATTATGTTAATTCATTGATATGCCTTTTGTTTGAACTTCCATTTTTTGTTCCTCTATGATAGAAATTCTATTTATTTACTATAATCATGGCTAAATGTCTTACAATCATTGTCCTTTTCATATCATAAAACATACATCCAACATGAGAAAAAGGACGACAAATGAATTGTTAATGTTATAAAACACTCAGAGCTTGTCCAATGGCTTGCCAAAGTGTTTATTTCTCACTCAAAACTTTTTATTTTTGTATCCAAATCGATAAATCCTTCTCGGTTTCTTTTTTTTGGTATTGTTGCGTGCAAATTATCTAACCGCACATATAACACTCTTGAGAGCATCATGGATAGTGTTGCGGATGAAAAAATTTGATACTTTATTTTTGAGTATCCCTCCAATAGCCTCCCGCAAAAAAAAAAGAATATTGTCCGGAAATAAAACCAAAACAAATGAAAAATTGTTATTCACAATGGACCCGGGTTCTTATGTGAAGTTGTGCTATAGCATAACAACAAAAAAGCGGAACAAAATAATGACTTTTGCCTTTACTGAAATTCTACCGACTACTGAAGAGTGAAAAGCGATTTCTCAAAACATGCAATTTAGGGGTTGTTGAAGCACATCAAAATATATGGCAATGAGAGAGAATTTTTTTTTATTTTTGAGAGAACCGATTCATTTCTCGTTGCTGAGAGAGTCAATCACGACGTTGTTGTATGAGAAGTGAATTTCTAAAGCCAATTTTCATTCAACAAATTTTTGCGGGAACCAACAATGAGGCGTAAAAATGTGTGTGTTCGTAGATATTTCTGGTGAAATAGCGACACGTGTGGATTGATAGAGGAATTCGCTTCGTATTGAAATAATTGAATTAAACACAAAAATTTTCTTTTTTTGGAATATTGATTCAGCATCATCGTCGTTTATAACTTTGGCAATTTTTATCCTGAAATATTTTTCAATAGAATATTTTAAGGCTGTCTGATAGCAAGGCACAAAAAAAATAAGTTTTATGACGAAGAAAAAAAAAGCAGTAAATGAGAAAAGTAAAGAAGCTCATAAATTACGATGCTTGTTGTGTTTGTAGTAAAGGAAATTCTTAATGGCGCGCTTACCTACCTGTTTTTATAGCAGCATAGCATTAATGCAAAGAAACGTAAAAGTTGTGAATAAAAAGGAATTGAAAATGCGTGTTTATTATAAATTTTCATCTTTTTATTTAAGAGGGATTTTTAGTCAATTCCAACAATAATAGAATCGTAGAGATTTTCATACCCAGTCTAGCACAGACAAAGCTTATGAAACTCATTTTATTTTCCCCCCAAAAAAATAACAAAGTTTTATGACAGAGCTTTTAGTGGATATAGCAATTTAAATTAATCTAATTCCTTCCCTTTTTTTTGTACCCGCACTTTTGTAGCTATATCTGTGGCAAATAATTCGGCATAAACTTTCATTAACATTGAAATTTTTCTCGCATTTTTTTGCTCATCGATTTTTTTTTATTATATTCACTCTAATCAGCCTCATAAATCCATCACTTCACATTTCTAATGTCCCGTTGGGAATATGAGGAAATAAAAGCAAGTCTCTGGTAGGAAAAACATCAAACAAAACTTGATTATTTTCTTTATGCTGCAACGCATTTTTCCCACAATTGGATACATTGTAAATGTAGGATTAAGGTTGGATATGGCTCAAAGTAGACAGGCCTGAGAATAAAGCTCACTGTGAAACTAGTTGCATGTGTATGACGGACAGCAGAAGTGAAATAAGTACCTTGGTGGCTGAGGTGCAGGGATATCTAATCAAGGGGTCAGAGATCGCCTCTTTTGAGGTCGTTGGTTTGATTCCCATCGTACCCGACATGTTTTACATTACAATACGAATGCAGCAGTTATAGATCTACAAATTGTAAGATTCAGCATCTCAAGTCTATTTGCAGAGCTGACTTTGTACTTGATGATTCACCCACAAATAGCTTGATACCTCAGATACAGCTTCAACATTCCAAATTTTTAATAAATCATCAAATCGCATAAAAATATTAAAAGCATATAAAATCTTTCAGGCCCAATTTGTAATTGAAAGTGATGAAATAAATCTAATAGACAAAATGACTTTCAATGAGGTTTTATTTCAGACATAAAAAAAGCGTTAGAAAAACTTTGCTATTTATTCATGTATAAATTTTATCCTCTAAAAATGTGAATTGTAATTTATTGTGACGTGCCAGCAGAAATAAAAGTAGAATAATTTTTTTTTGTTTTATTTCCAGCCTGCTTTTTTATGATGGACACATTTTTCCTCTAGTTTTTATTTCCTTTTCGTCGTTTAATACAAAATATGTTGTCCTATGACTTCAGACCTGTGAGAGTCGACTATAAAAATGTCGTAAAAAAGTTTTATGAACTTCGTCGGTTTTGAAACAAGGAGAATCGTAAAAATAGCTAGTAGACCGATTCAGGCATCAAATAATCCATAATTACTGAAACTCAACATGAAAGTCTTTCATTCTTCCTGCTTTAAGCTAATAAAAATTTTCACTCTTTCTATTCAAACCTCATTAAAATGTGTTATGTGATGATGAGAAAGTATTACAGGTGAAAATTGTCGAAACTAAAGCACGATGTCGGATCGTTAGTTCAATTAAAAAGTTTGACCATATCTGGGCATGGCTGTAAGAGCTTCATGAATTCATAATTGTACATAATTGAAAATCATAGCTTAATACACAATAAAAAATCTATTATCAACAAGATCCAGCTCGAGTTTGTATTGGAAAATGTCGCCAATCTTCCTGCATCTCCTACCCTACTTATGGTCCTGAAATCTTCATAATGTTGTAAAGAGAAAGTCAAATAATTTCAATTTTTCATTTTCAACAAGAATGTAAAATAAATCCATAAAGGAACAAACAATAATGAAAATGGAAATCATTAAGGAAACATTAGTCTGGGGAGACATAAATTATGACATCATAAATAAACACACGAAACATAAACATTATTTTATTTTAATTTTTTTCTTGTTAACGTCTTTCAACCTTGAACACGTTGCACTTCCTTCCATTCGCATAAAAAGTTTTATATTCTGATGTGTAAATTGTTTTATTTTCTTTTTACTTTTCTCAAAATTCAGGAAGAAATAAAGCTTTTAAGTTAAATTCACTCACAAAATGGAATTTTTTAAGGGGCCATTCACTTATTACGTAACGCTTTTAGGGGGAGGGGGGGTCTAAGATTTTGTTACGGTTCAAACAAGGAAATTTTTTTTTCATACAAATTTTGTTACGAGGGGGGGGGGTTTAAGAAGTCATTTTTTCGCGTTACGTAATAAGTGAACATCCCCTAAGCAAAAAAAGTTTCTTTTAAGGAAGTGAAAAACTTTCAATGCTAAAATTTTCTCAATTATCTCGTTTCTCAAATGAACTTTTTCCATTTTCAAAGTGCATTTGAGTTTGCTTAAATATTTTAATAAATTAATTTTACGTGAAGTCAGTGATGCAATAACTTGTAATAACTTGTTTTATTGAAAAAATTGCTTCAGAAGACGAATTGGGAGATAGTTTAATATCATATTACTAAGTTCTTTAAGATGTCATTGAGAAATAAAGACATAACAGCTGTTGTGATGATTAATTTCAATTGAGATAAATGTAAGAAATAGAACGTGATTCAAAAATTAGGTCCAAGTCAACTAGAATCTACCAGAATCGAAGCTGACTTACAAATCAGCTTAGGGGTCGTTCATTTAGGACGTCCATCAAAAAACCTGATTTTTTGACCCCCTCCCCCCTCTGTTACAAAAATTCTATAGAAAAAAATTTCCATTGTTTGAACTGTCACAAAATCCTAGACCCCCCCCCCCCCTCATGTGCGATAACATTTAGCGTCATATTGAATTGAAACATTTTATTTTTTTGTTCAACAAACTTTTAAAATTTATGTTATTTACAATAAACTACAAAACTTGCTTGTTTTTACTGCACTTGAGGCTGCAGTAAATTGGAAACAACAACCAGTAAGAAATATAAAATCTGTTGAGTGGAAGAAGAACAACACTTTGTTGAAAGTATCGCATCTTTTTCCTTAATTGAATGACTAAGTTGAAAAACCACTGACATAGAAAAACTTCTATCGTTTTAATAGAAATGTTGGTCATCGGAGTTCTTAAAAGTTTTGTAATGCACGTACACAATAATTTGATGCTGTAATATCGTGAGAATTGTGAGAATCCTTGTCATATCTAAACACTCTATAATAATTGCTTGAGAGATCGGTCTCTGGTGAGAATTGAACCCATATATTCACAAAAAAGTGAAAAAGATTTCCGGTATGTTGCATAACCACTCGGCC